ATTTTTTTTTCTTTTTTTTTTTTTTTAACAGGGTACAATGTCACAAAAAGTAGTCATCTCGTCCGCTAAACAGCAGCACCAGCAAAATTTGTGCTTGAAAAGTCAGGAAAAGGCAGGCAGGTAGAAAAAAAAAATAGACACGCTCACTGCGTCTTTTCCCGGGTCCACTTGATCATTGTCTCGGGGGAGCGGTAAAGGAAGATGAGCTTGGCGTACATGTCCTCCTCCAGGTCCAGCTCGCCCGTCTCCCGCACCAGGAAAATGTCGGTGCACAGCTTAAGGATGCGGTCCACGTTGGGCAACTCCTCGAACATGATGGTGTGCGAGATGCCGCTGAAGAACTCGCGCACAAACTTGCCGATGACAAGCACCACCGACGCGTACAGGCCCATGATCCTGAGATGCGCACGCACAAAAGGCGGGAAACGATACCATTAGCACCACGCCCACATTGATTATATAAAATATTTGTTGTTTGTTTCCAAGTTTTGTTTGTTTTTATATTTGTCTGAAACTGAAATAAAAATAGTGTATTTATTGGTCTACATTTGCATCCAATTTTAAATCTAAAATTAAAAAGTTTTTGTTTTTTTTAAATCCAAAACAAAGATTTGAGTTTTATTTCAATTCCATTTATTTCCGTTGTTTCTCTCAAAATGTTGACAGGCATTTGTACCTGAAACATGCTGTTATTTCTCTTGAATACAACCCCTAAGCCCGAAAATGTATCATTTATTTTGCATTTTTGTGATTAAAAAAAATAAATAAATAATTGGATACAGCTTCAGTTTTGATTTTAAAATAATCTTTACATTTTGGAGAGAAACTACAAAATCGTATGTTGTTGGGTTTGAAAGATAAAAATAAAGGTGGAGAGCTGTTGCTCTGAATGTAGGTCAGAGGTCATACCCGTAACCGGCCAGGAAGCCCAGGCTGGGTGGGCTGACTTGGTCACTGAAGACGTAAAGCTCCAGACAGTCATCATGGTTCTGACTCTTTTCGATGGGGCCGCGCTCCGTCTGGTTGACGATCCACCACTCCTTAACCTGACTTTTGTTTTTCCCCACTTGCCGCAGGCTCACACTGATGTTCAACATCTTCTCGTCTAGTATTGAATCAGAACACAGAAAACATGAGATGGTTCAGACAGGAAGTGGAGGTATAATTGCCAAAATAAAGCACGCTACCTTTATAAAGCTGCTCGACAGGTTTGGCATCCGAGTCGCTGGGTGCTCTGATGTAGCGTGGGAAGATGTTCCTCAGCGTCCTGCGTGTACAAAAGAGAACGTGAACGGGATCGACTTGCGCTCAAGCTCGGCGATCGGTCCACTTACACGTGCGATTGGCTGCTGCTTCCGTTGAGCAGCAACACGAGCGCCTTCTTGGTGTCGTTGGGCAGATTGGTGACCCGTTTGCCGGACGCCGTCTCGGCCTTGGCGCCCAAGCTCAAGTTGCGCTGCACCGACCAGGACACAGTGATGGGAAAGTCCTCGTCCAGGGCCAACATGTCGATGAGGGTATCCCTACTCGGGGGGCTGATGGTCCACAGAGAGTTGGAACTGCCCTTCAGCTCCGCGATCACCAGGTCGCCTGGCATGTAGCCCCCCAGCCACTCCAGCGCCTCCTGGTGGCAAGAGTCACACAGATGCAAAGTCAGTTTTCTTGCATACTCGCATTTAGACCTCTGTTTATTAAAGCAGAGGTTCCCAAACATCCTCAAGACTAAATCATGTTCAAGTTTATTGCTAATTAATTTGAACGCACCAAACTCGCTCTGCCTAATATGTGACCATCAAAATTGCTTGGGAAGCCCACTCCAGAATTAAAAGAACACATCTTGCGACTTCTTTTGACAAACATGCACAGGTCTCACAAAAATAATTCATTCAATGCAATATTGAGTTGAATATTGAATCACTTTTTTATTTGTCATTATGCCGGTTTGTCAATTCCTTTACGTGAAATAGAGAACGTTTTTATATTAAAAAAAAAAATTATATAGATTTTTTTTTCAAAAATGGGGGGCCTTTTACTTTTTTTTTAAATTTCCAAGTTTAAAAAACAATGGGTGGATGAGGGTTATTTACAAATCTCATTTCAAGTTTACTGTACATTTGTGTCATTGTGGGGGAAATGTTTTAAACCCAAAAGACAAAGAACACATTATTTTGGTGGTCTTTCTCTCCATTTCATTTCTTGATTACTTTCTTCTCCCCTTATTTAATTCAGAATTGGTCTGCGTGCCCAGATTGGGTCCAGACCACTAAGTGCCAATCTCTGTTGTATTTAGTGTGCATCGATAGTGAATTTGACAGCTTTATATTCATGGAAGAATTTAGTTCTTGGCACTATGCTTACCTCGTCATCATTGTACAGTTTGACGAAATTGGTAAAGTCTTTTTCTGAGACTTCCTGCAGTTGTTTCTGCTGAGCACTCATGGTGAAGATGGGCTGCCATGGACCAAAAGGCAAACATTAGGACCGACTTGACACTTTTTTTTTGGGAAGTGTTTCCTGCTCATTTCACCTGGAAGCCGGCCAGCGTGATCTCGAAGGAAACGTCCAGTGGCGGGTTGACCACGCCGGCCACGGACTTGACGAGTGACATAAAGAGCAGCGGGAACCACACGATGCAGATGAGCAGCATCACGATCATCCCACCCATGCCGTACTTCACCACCTTTTTCTTCTTCTGGCCTCGTGGCTGAGGGTACCTCTGTATGGGTGGAAAGATAGTTTTCTTTTGCTGTTTGTTCTCTCTCTTCTGTCTCTTTACCTCTTTCAAACGACTTGGTTAAAACCAAAGGGTGTTAATGCTATTATCTTATAATATAAGACATGTTGAGGGGGGGGACAAGAAAAAAAAAAAAAAAGTTGAACCAGGAAATAATTTCAAGGCAATCGCATTTCTCGCTCGGCTACACTTCTAAAACGTCGGAAATGCATTTTATTCCGGCACCTTTTCCGACTCTCGCCAGCATTTGAGGATGAAGATGTGAGCGTAGATGTCCTCCACACAAATCCAGCTGGATAGAGAGAGCGATGTGTCAGTCCACACCCAGTCCATCACGGCACGCAGCTCTGTCAGGAATGGAACCATACGGAACCTGGAAACAACATTGGTTTGTTTATTTTCATTTTTGGGGAATGATTTTCTTTGTGCAAAGTGACTTCCTTACCCTTGAAAGAGGAAGAGGTTGACATAATTGTAGCTCTTGGTGAGGAAGTTCCCTAACACGCGGGTGGGATAACCGCACCGGATCTGATAGGCTGACAACCCAAAGTAGATGCACTTCACAAAATACCACATCTGAGCCACGTTGTTCTTGTTGAAACGCCTTAAAAAAATAAACACATGACAAATGTCAAATGACATTTGACAGCGAGACGGTAAGCGTGTATATTCTTACTTCTCGGTGACTCCCGGCAGGATGAAGAACATCCAGAAGTGGATGCCGAAGACCAGGAAGACCTGAAAGATGACCTTGCCCATGACAGACTTGCGTAGGTAGAGGGCCCGGTCCACCACCATGGTCCCAAACTGAATGAGGACCATCACCAAGAAAGGTCCGGGGACTTGATCCTCTGACAGTGACGAAGTAATGTCTGCCGCCGAATGTTTCTACAAGAAAACAAACATATTGTAGGATGGGAATTTGGGATGGAAAGTTACGATTTCCAATGATACCAACAGCGCCATTCTATGAAAATGTTCGGGGTGCGCTTTACGCGACCTTATGAAGACCTCAGTGTAAAGGTGACACCTACGCCAAAAGCCCAGAAGCCAAAGACTATGATGATGAAGTCAACGGTATCGGCGAGGAACATGAGCACGTAGACGTCGGTCACGGCGCTGTACTCGGGATGGATGAGGTCATAGAAGAACTGTGAAGAAGCTGCTATTGTATCTGATGTATATATGACATGCACAGACGAATAAACAATCCATTCTGTGGGATTCAATCGCTACTGTCTTTTCTAATTGTATGCATCATACATTTTTTTTCTCTGCCAAGTAAATTTGGTTCTATCCTCGTGAAGTTGTGTTGAAAAAAAAATCGTAAACTATGGCCTAATTTTTTTTTCTCTCCTGAGAATTTAGCTCTTTATCCTTGTAACATATTTCCTTTTCCTCTAAATGACTTATTTTTAAGTATGCATTGTAATATGACTATATATTAAGGGTACAGTGAAAAATAGATATTCGATGTATAATGTAATATTACAATGTAATATTCCATAACGGTTTTTGCAATATTTTGAGATTTCCTCATGATTATTCTTCTAAAAATAGTTTTTCCTTTAAATGTTACTTTATCCTCCTCGAATTCCAACAGTTCAAAATTTTTGACTTAAATATTTGAAAACTTTTTCCAAATTAGCAATGCAGTAAACAACAGCAAATAAGAAAACATGGGGACAGACCAACAGTATAATTTTTGACAAAATGAAATATTTGTGATGATATAGGTAGGTTGATTGAACACTAAATTATCCATGTGAATAGTTGTTTGTCTATTTGTCCCCTGCAATTGGCTGGCAACCAGTTCAAGGTATCCCCTGCCTATATAGCAGAGGACAACAGCTGGGACAGACTCCCAAGCATGCCCGTGACCCTCGTAAGGATAAGCAGTTCACAAAATGGATCCAATAAAAAACGATTCCACGGGTGCTAAAATGAGATTATCCAGGGGTCGATTGGAGTTTTAAGTTGTAACATCACCAGTCGCCACAAAAGGGCAGATATGTCTTAGTTGCGCGTATATGGGTCTTATGCTCTTGTCTTTCGATAGCGGTCATCTGCCCAAACTGAAGTGAAAATAAAACACGAGCAGCGGCGTGACGAAAAAACAGGAAGCTTTTTTTGTTTTTTTAAGGAAGTGGTTTGGATGGGCTCACCTCTTTCGTTGATGAATGCTGCGAATCCCTGCGAACAAGAGGAGTGAGGCACTATTTTGATTTTATTCTTCACTTCCATCACAGCCTTTATTATGATACACGTTCACATTTCACTTCCTCTTCACCACCTCTTATGTAATGAAATGAACAATAATGAAGTGCTTCTCTCATGCTACAATGCCCTACTAATGCATAGTTTGTCTTTGCTTTTTAGGTCTTTTAAACTTTTCATTCCCAATCATTGAGCGTCGGGGAACTTCCTGCTCATTTTGCCATTTAATCCTTTTTTTTTTTTT